AGCTCCACACAAAGCACAGCGTCCTCCACCACTGCTCTTAATCAACCTTTACAACCCTCTGCACCCTAACATGCAAGCAGCATCTTCCCAGACAGGTTTATTCCACGCCATGAGAAGTTTTAGCTGGCTCCAAGGAAGAATGAGAAGCAAAGCAAGGGAGCAAGATTTTTCTGGGAGTCTTGCTCTAGAAGAGATTTTCGGAAACTAGTTCAATCTGGAAGACAGAAGGTATTTGTCTGTTGTTTAGGTTCTTTAGAAGGTTATGGGGGGGACACAGGCCTGGAAATCCTAACAGGTTTTGCGATTTCCTGCCATGCAGAAAGCATGCAAAGCACAGGTTCTCACTTGGCTTCTTCTGGCCTTCATAGTTGGCACAAACTCAGTGGGACAGGAAAAAGCATTTATCATGCCCAGAACTTCATTCTACCACCAGCAGAGACAATATAGTTAAGTGTGATGCAAATTAAACTGGCATTTCAAGAGATTGCTTAAAGAAAGAAATCATTAAAAATAAAGAGAACTAAAATAAAACATTTCTGTGTCATGACAGGTGTTTATCTCACCTAGCAAACTCCTACTGCGCACTCTTCGACTTAGAGAGGAGCTCAAGCACGCTCCAGCCTGCCAAATAGGTTCCAGCAGCCTGTACAAATAGTTTTTTTCTACTTGAAATTTCAGTAAAAAAGTTAGTTGGATACCTTAAAAAAAATTTTAAAAAATCAAAATACATTTGCAGTGCCTGCAGTATGCTATCTTGTCTGAAGTCTATCAGCCAGTAAGAGATGAAGGTACAACTGTACAACAGACGTAGGTGCAGAAGCACCCAAACTAGAGACCCAGACCAGTATGGCCAGACACCACAGGACAGCGTTATCCAAGCCCAGAGCTGTGCCCAAGCCAACATGTTCCATCTTTAGCCTGGACACGTCCAGAAACCTTGGAGAAGAAAGGACTATATTATTATGATTTCACAGTACACCCAGAGGCAGATGACAGGAATATTTCACCACCTCACGCAGTCTCATGATGATCTGCAATGCAAGAGTACAGTGCAGTCATGTAGGGTCAAGCACAGCTTGTTTGTTTGTTTGTTTTTCCAGATTGCCACATACTCAAGGCATCTTGCTGTGAGCAGAGTTTAACCACTGCTGGTGAGGTCCTGAAAAGGGCATGAAGACTGAGCCTCAAGCTCTAAAACCCAAAAACATGTCACAAGCTTCTACCACCGCAGCTTAAGGGCCAAGCCTGGGGAGTAAAAACAAGCAGAACTAACTGCCAGAAAAATGCAATAGCACAAACTGCCCTGAGTAAGGCAAAAATTGTAATTTTGTTTGCAAAGTATCTAGACAATCTGGGGTGTGGCTTGACTCTGGGTTCATGTACTGATTTATGACCACAGTAATTCCTGCCAGGAGGGATGCCTCAAAGCTACATCTGCCATATACATTCTCTGGAGAGCAGCCTGGAGACCATCAGACCTGGTGCCACCCTTTACATAGGCAGAAGAGTCAGACAACACAGTACTAATAACAAAACTACTCACCATTGGTGCTCCACGGTGGCCAATAATGGCTGGCTTTGGTCCCAGAGCCTTCTTCTCCATTATGCAAGGGGATGAGATGGTGAGGGGAACAAGGTAAAGTGCAACAACAACTGCGAGGTATGCCATGAACATGAGCATCTGAGAAGCTGAGACAGAAACAGAGAGAGCTGGTGAAAATGTTGGTCCTGATCTCCTCACGCCACAGAAGCAAAGTCAAGACACCCTTGTCCTCCTCCAGAGGAGAGAGAACTCTACAGCCATTGTCCCTGGAACAACAGCAGACCTCTGAGTTTAGGTAAAAACATAACCTACTTTAAAAAAAAAATCTCTTTCAGTTAAGTTTTGAAGGAGGTTTTCACTGCCATTTTCTACTGGGGAAAACAATGAGTTAAATTACTTCCTTTAAGTCTTTGCAACACACTGATGTTTTCCAGCCCTTTGGGTGGGACAACACTAAATTTTGCCCTGCTTGACAACAGAAATAGATCACCAGTTAAACATAACTACAAGTAAGTCATGGCACCATGTGGGTGTGTATTTAATATCACTTGGGTTTACATCACTTTTATTTACATCGGTGGTTCACCAACACCACCCGTTTCAGCCAGGGAAAAAACACTTTAACTGTTTCTGCATCACGATTTGTGCCAGCCAGAACCGAATTAATTTGCGATGATGTTTTACTGGTTAAGTTGAACATGTTTAAATAAATCCTTGGGTTGTAATCGTGCTGCATTCCCCGGGGTCTCTGCAAGAAGCAAATTACCAGACTGGCAAATGCAGCAAAGAGGGTATCAGCTACAATGCTTGAGATCAGATGAGCCATCCTGTGTCCCATGTCATGCCTCAGCCACCCACCCCCAACTACCAGTGACTTCTCACAAAGCCCAGAGTATCTGGGAATCTTTCGAAAGTGCTGACAGCGCAACAGAAACACCCCTTGTTCCCAGCAGACACATATTCCTTATAAAGAACAACAGGCACCTCTGAACCCCTGAGGTATTTGAAGTCACTTGAAACCACAGATATTAAAGAAAAATACTTAGTTTTTAACTTTTTAAGTTATTCTTTATTTTGCAGACTCATTAAGGCTTTGGAACTCAAGCAATATCCTCCAAAAACATTTAAAACAAATATTTGAAATGGACATAAGATGGAGAAAGCATTTTATTTTATTTTATTCTAAGGTAAAGACAGAACAGCCTAGCTCTGGTCCTGACCACAACTGATCTGATTTCACATATAAATAAACTGCTCTTTTACTTCCAACATCTAATAGCCTCATTCAATGGCTCTTACAAGCCTGAAAGTAACTCTAGTAACTTTGCCAGCTAAATTTTTTCCTCCTCTCTGGAAGAGATGCCAATCACCTACAGAGCACTCAAGGAACTGAATGCTATCTTGCTAAGTGAGTTCCTGCTATGTCCTGCACCATAAAGGTACAGTGTGCTGGAATGGTGCGTTACCAGCATCAAAACCTCCAGACAGACACGAGACCTGATCCTGACCCAGTTCTTGCTCACCTGAGGAAGACCCCACACCAACCAGACTTTGAAAATTAGCCTAATTCTCAGACAAGTCTCAGGTTGTGCGAAGAACCTCGTCCTTTCCTTTCTGGTGGTGCAGTTTAGGGACTAAACAGCTCAGATTCAAACTAAAGGCAAGCATCACATAAAATGCAAGGGCTTCCAAATATTTTGATCATTGGACTGAACCCACAAGGAAAGGATACCCCAGCACAGGTCACGTACCATGTTAAAATGGAGCTGACGACCTCACCCAACCATGGATATGTAGCAATGGAGACCACTCACAAAAAAACCCAAAATTAAACACATGCATAAAACACACTGTTCAATTTGAGGTTGGATGATCTGTGTGAAAGACTTTCTCCTGGTGACCACTCAAGCCAAGCAAGTAGGACAAATAAATCCCTTACTTCCTACAATATGACAACACCTACTACAACATTTAGATGTAAGCCTTCCTTCTCCACTCCTCCTGCTCTCAGTGACCGCTCCAGCCTACTTTGGGCTCCTGGAAGAGCATGTTTCTCACACTGGCATTTGCTACTTATGGCTTCCAGGGCTGTTTTGAGTTCAATGTTTTCTATTTGACCTCAGAAGCAAGCTTTGAAAATAGGCTTTTAAAACTGTGGAGTCATTCAAGAAACAGCTATTCTCCGAGTTCAGAAAAAGGAGCATAACAGGAACAAAAAATAAAACCCAATCAAAAAAAAGTGTAAATTTGCTCAGAAAAAAGCCAGTTGCTGAAGATCGCCACATGCCTCAAAAACGTCAAGAACAGATTATTGCACCAGTGACTGCAGCTGCACCAGTTTTTCCCCCAAAGGATTATTATTAGTGAGTGAAATCTTATTTTTCCTGTTACAAGCAACTGTAGGTTCTCACAGAGATTTCAGTTCTCCCATTTTTAACACCACCACACCAAACCTATCTGTACCAAAAAAGTCTGTAAACTCCTCCAGATAAGATACGTTTCACAAGTAAAATGAACCTAAAATAACTTTAAGATCTAATAGTACAGGAGAGATGAATGTTTTCAACATTCAACAAACAAACAAAAACCAACCCAGAACCAGAAAAAAAAAATAGAAGGAAAAGAGTTTCCTGGCTCATTAAAAACAAATAAACAACAAAACCACCACTTTCAGGGAACTCAGCTGCAAGAGAAAAGATACCAGGAATTCAGAAGGAGCACATGCAGCCTCTGCTGTAGGCGTAACCACAAATCCTCCCTCAACTGGCAGCTTAATTACATGCTAGGACATATTTAAGAATAACCAGGCACAGCTTTATTGGCATATTTATAAATTAAGGCAGAGCAATTCTTTCTTTGAAAGACCTCTCTGGATATCAAAATCTTTCCATCTTCCGACACTGCTTCCTCATTCTTAACTCCTACTTCTTGGAAGTCTTTCGCAAGTGCTGCCAAATCCTTCCAGGGCTTGTATTTTGCTGCAGGTCAAATACCAATTAAAATACTTTTTCTGGAGCTGGCACAAATGTCTGAGAACATCCATGAACACCCTGAAGAAAAACACTTCTAAGGGCACAGAAGGATAAAATCATTTCACAAGAAAGCCTGGAGGAGCAGCTCAGGCTTGGGAGAGTCCTTGGCAATGAGGTTGGACAGGAGAGACGCACAATTTCAGTGGTCAGGACCACCAGCAAGAAGAGCTGGGTTCAGTGCATCCTTCACCACTCTGCTCCCTTAGACCTTTACCATGTCTCAACATGCATTTAAGGAAGCACCTAACCATCAGGGTACCAGATCTCTACTGAGCCCTGCGGGTGCTACTGCATCACAAGCAACAACTCCATGAAAGCTTTCAAAAGCTTTTCTAGATCCACCTAGAATGCAGGTGAAAAAGGGGCAAGGAGATGGAAAAAAAAGAGCAGTGCTGATAAGATCCAGAGAAGAACATTGCTTGTTTGGGAGGTTGCATTTATGTTTTCTAAAGCAGACTGATGGAAATCTGCATGCTTTTATTCATTGCTTCGTTGTAAACTGCCCTTTCACCCTCAACCTTGGTGCACTTCTGACCACAAAGCAGCAGCCACAGGATCCATCCACTCCAGTTTCAGCCAGGTTACTGTGAGAACATTCACCTTTACAACATGGCTGTCCTGGAGGCTGCCAAGCCCAGGGAAGGAGCTAGTACTGCCTCCTGCCAGCTGGTTCCCAATGGGAGGACCCAACATCCCAAGAGCCACCCACCAGCCCCTGACCACCACACAAGGATGAGGGGTACTCACTGGCTTTCTCCGTTCGTGCAAATTGCCCTGCTATCAACCATGACAGGGCTGTGACCGCTGCAAGTGCTCCTATGTGCAAGAAAGGAGCTGTGGCCTGGAAGACACAAGAACAGGAGGGGGGCGGAAATTATTACAAACATCCCAGCACCTTGCAAATTCATTGATCTTGTAGGGGTCCACAGAGCATCAGATCACTGCATCTCCAGTTGGATTTTGCACCGTTCCTACACCAGTTTCCTATTTTGGCCATCTCATCCTCCAAATCCTATCATTGCCTCTGGCACTAAAGTCACTACAAAGGCAAAGCATGAAACTCCCTTCCTCAAATCCTATCATTGCCTCTGGCACTAAGGCCACTACAAAGGCAAAGCATGAAACTCCCTTCCTAGGAAGAGCTCACCCAATAACACAAATATTTGGAAAAGGCTTCCTTAAACACCATGCAAATTCACATGAGGCTCTTGGTGTAACCAAGTTTTGAATTTCTTGTAGTCCAGTTGAACACTCGTCAACAGCTCAATGTCTGGATGGAGATCAGTGACGACTGGTGTCCCTCAGGGGCCTGTATTGGGACCAGTAATGTTTCATGTCTTTATCAATGACATAGATAGTGGGATCAAGTGCACTCTCCAGCAAATTCACAGATTACACCAAGCTGCATGGCGCTGTTGACACCTGAGGGACAGGATGCCTCTCAGAGGGACTTGGAAAAACTCAAGAAGTGGGCCCAGGTGAACTTCATTAGGTTTAACAAGGCCAACTGCAGGGTCCTGCACACAGGTCAGGGCAACCACTGGTATACACGTAGGCTGGGGGATGAAGGGACAGAGAGCCACCCTGCAGAGAAGGTTGGTGGATGAAAACCTGTAAATAAACCAGCAATGTGCATTCACAGCCCAGAAAGCCAACTGCATCCTGGGCTGCATCAAAAGAAGCATGGCCAGCACATCAAGGAAGGGGATTTTCCTCCTCTGCTCTGGTGAGACCCCACCTGGAGTACTGCATCCAGCTCTGGGGTCTTCAGCACAGGAAAGACAGACCTGCTGGAGTGGGTCCAGAGGAGGGCCACAAAAATGATCAGAGGGCTGGAGCACCTCTCCTGTGAAGACAGGCTGAGAGAGTTGGGGGTTGTTCAGCCTGGAGAAGAGAAAGCTCTGGGGAGACCTTAGAGCAGCCTTTCAGTGCTTAAAGGGGGCTTATAAGGAAGATGGGGACAGACTTTTTAGCAGGGTCTGTAGTGATACGACCAGGAGTAACAGTTTTAAACTAAAAGGGGAGAATTCAAACTAGATATAAGGAAGCAATATTTTACAATGAGGATGGTGAGACGCTGGCACAGGCTGCCAAGAGAGGTGGAAACATTCAAGGTCAGGTTGGATTAAGAACTGAGAAACCTGATCCAGTTGAAGATGTCCCTGCCCATGGCAGGGGGATTGGACTGGATGGGCTTTAAAAGGTCCCTTCAAGCACAGACCATTCTGTGATTCCAGGGCCATACCACAGTGTACTACTATGGTGCATCACCATGAGATAGTTTGAGATGGATCCTTTGAGTCAGGCTTCTATTCTCCAATCTCCTGCCTATGTCTTAAAAAAGGCAAAACAAAACAAGCAAACAAAAAACCCCAACCAAAAAAACACAAATAAAACAACAACAACAACAAAAAACCCCACACCAAACAAGAAAAGGGAAGCACTTCTCAGAAATATTAGTCATTTGTGTGAATAACTTTTTCCCCTCTGTATTTGCATACTCTCAAATATACAGCAGTGATCACAAGCAGAACCTCTCAAGGCTTTCATAGGCAAAATATTTTTGGACCCTTCTTAGCAGAAAAGGGAAAATGGAATAGAAAGCTGGTCTACCAAGAAATTAACAGTTTGTAACTATTTTCCTGCAACGCTTATACAGCCCTGCAGCACACCACAAGTCTCTTAAAGCAGGACTAGAGCACAGAAGTTGCATTCTTTTTTAGATATATATTAACTTCTGTGTAATGTAAAAACAAGCCCAGAGTACTCCTCCCATAAGACTGGGAAAAGCATGATGCTCCAGGCTTGGACACCAACATCCAGAGCATTGCTACCCAAACCAAAAGGAACTGCCCTGTCCCTCCAGCAACTCTGAGTCACACCAAGCTTCAGTATTTCCAACCTTAACTCTTCAGCCAAGCCCCAGATTGAGTTTAGAAGAGCAAGCCCAGAAGATGGAGACAAAGTGGTAGATGAAGATGAAGATGGCCTTGAGGGCTCCATGGTAGTTTTGCTGCATATTTTCTCGTTGCCAAGAGTTCAGCATTAGGGGTGACAAACATGAAGACAGGATTTTATATAGCAGAAAGTCACAAAGTCCTTGGCATGTAGCTGCACTGACCCCTTTTCCCAATGAGAGAAGAATCCTTGCAGACAACTTACTTGCAGTGAAATAAATACCATGTCCCATTCGTCGTCCCAAAGCTGTGCTATGGATGACATGGTCACCACAGTAGTTATCAATGTTGTCACCAGGCCAATCTGCAACAAATATAAGAGTATTTACATACCAAAGCCTATTGTTATTATAGAAGTATTACAGATTGGGAAATGGAGATAATACACAGCCTAAAACAACTAGCTTTAGGACCTACAATGAAAGAAGTTGGACTTGTGAGCTGTCCCAGCATAACCTCCCCTTTCTAACACTGAAGATCCAACACTGGGCTAAACAGTCCCAGGAGGGCACATCTCATGGTTGATCTCTCACTTCCTTCACATAGTGATCAATGGTATAGAAAAATCAGGTGATTTGACCTGCCAAAAAACTGGATCAGAAACAGCTTAAATATAGACAGGGTTCTGCCAGGCAACTTCAGAGGATGATGCTGGATTCTCCCGGCCCTTCTGCAACAGTTTGCAATGCACCAGTGCTATGAGAGGTTGGTGGACTTCACTCAACTTGACCCTTCAATGCATCTGTTCAGGTATAAAACCTGAACACACCCAACAGACAATGAACATTGCACTTCTCAGTAAAATGTGAACATTTGTACAATTAAGGCTGTGCATCCTCCTCACTAAGCAACCATCTCTGAGATGGTTCAGCACAACTTTGTGCATGGATATGACTTTACCAGGGTCTGAAATGGCAACAATTGGTCAGCATCCAAGTCATGTTAACAGAGCAGTTGTAGCAGATATTGCAGCTTGAGAAGAGGCTCTGGATGACAGTGGCTGAACTAAGATGGCAGGACATGACCCAGTCCATCAGCCACTTCCCCCAGCCTCCTGCTCCATCCACAATGAAGCACTCAGAAATCTGAGCAGTCAAAAAGAAAATGTCACCTCCATTTTGAAGGTAGAATGTTCAAACCATCCAAAACTGCCAAAGAAATAATTCCAGCTGTAAAGAACTAAAATTTGGGCTGTCTGTCAAAAAATAATTCACCATCCTCCGCCTCTCCATCTGGTATCTCAGTCTCTGCTGTACCACATGTCTGCTGGATTAAAAGGATACTACTGCTCTGTGTCTCCATCTCATGTACTGTCTAGATCTGAAATCTGTGTGGGAGAACTTGGGCAGAAAGGGCCAACTAATGCGTAACAGTGAACTAATCATCTAGGACGCACAGAACATCTCTAGACACATTTCATATTGGCTTAATGCAAATGAAAAACACCCAAACAAACCCACAAGGAAGGATGGAATTTACTTGTCTATTTAAAAGATACCTCCTAGCTACCTATAATGGCAAGCCATATTATTTTCAGATATTTCCTCATTAAGAAGTCTGAATTAAAAAAGCACAAAGCAATGCATGTGGACAATTGTTCAGCCTGGAGAAGAGAGGGCTCTAGGGAGACATTAGAGCAGCCTTGCAGTACCTGAAGGGGCTACAGAAAAGCTAGAGAGGGACTTTTTACAAGGCCATAGAGTAATAGGACAAGGGGTAATGGCTTTAAACTGGAAGGGAGTAGATTTAGACTACATATTAGGAAGAAATTCTTCACTATGAGGGTGGTGAGACACTGTCACAGGTTGCCCAGGGAAGCTGTGGATGCCCCCTCCCTGGCAGCGTTCAAGGCCAGGTTGGATGGGGCTTTGAGCAGCCTGGGCTGGGGGGGGGTGTCCCTGCCCATGGCAGGGGTTGGACTGGGTGAGATTTGAGGTCCCTTCCAACCCAAACCTTTCTGTGATTCTACGAATTGCACTTTGCCACAGAGCTTTGCACAAAGCTCCCCAATCCTGTGGTCAGACATCTGGGCCACCTTCCAGAACATAACACCAGCATACAATCCAGACAGAATCTACTTTTCATCCATTTTATACCCCCCCAAAGCTGAACTCAAAATTCAGCAACAACAGAAGACTTTGTCAACTAAATTTCTTCAGTACAGCCTTAATCCCCCTTGATGTTGCTGCCTTGTGCAGCACAGAGGTGTCATGCCACAAGTGCATATCCATTTCATCATTTTCTTCTGCCATCAGCTCCAATTTATTGTTTCTTACTCTCCTCCCCCACGCACCTCCAACTCAGCTTACGATCCTCAGCTCTTTTTGCTGACCAGGAACGAAGAGGGCTGGACGAGAGAAGATTGAAAGGAATCTTGCTATTTGCACATACCAGCCTTTCCCACATGCTTTAATCTGTATTTGAAGGTTATTCAGCACAGTTGCAGAGAGTATTAACTTAATCCAGCCTCTTATCTAAACGTCCTAGAAAGCTGAGGGCAGGTGTGGGAAAGAGAGACAGAGCAGCAGAGCTGAGTTGTGATGAAAGTTGGACTTTTTTGGAAGAAGAGAAGGAAGGGTGGGTTTCTGTAGACAAGAACTAACTGATCTCCACCAACACATTTGTCTTCTGGACTTACTCATGAGAACCCACCAGCCACCTGGAGCTTGTCTGAAAAAAAACACCATTTCCCCCGATGAAGAAACATATGTTAGACTCAAGAATCAATAATTCATTTTCCAGCAGCAGTCAGACGGTCCCCACCCACTCTTTGCATTGCATCCCCCTCCTCTGAGGAAGCGTAATTTCTATCATTTCTAGGAAATAAAGGCGGCGGCGGCGAGGTCTGTGCTCTCCCTGTTCTGAGGGGTGGTACATCTGTTCAGGCTCTGATCCTACAAAACCTTGTCAAATGCAGAACAATCCATTTCAGGAGAAGCCATGTATGGGCAGATTCAGAACTGGTCCCCTAATTACCTGTTAGCAGATTGCCAAGTACAATTGAATCCTGCCAAACCATTTTCTTTGGCACTGCCTCTCCCGGCAGCTTCCTCTCCCCTTCTGTGCTCCAACCACCAGATCTGCATCTTCTCTTATATTTGATAGCAATGTTTTTCATATTCCTTTACATACAAATCAGGGCCTCCTTGGGTTCCAGTAGACCACAACCTACACAATGCACACTCCCAGTTTTAAACACCCACATTTTCTCCCATGGCTTTTCTAGTTGGTTCTTCAAAGCACATCCTGCCCAGCTTCACATCTGCTCAGCCCATCCTCCAGGGCTGGGTTCAGCACAGAAAGGAGCACCAGAGAGGTTCATAACGGAATACCATGCTGAGCCGAAACTAAAATCAGGCTGCTCTAACAACCCAGAGCTTCTCACACTCCAGAAGTGGGCTTTCTGTCAGCAGGGATCCCAAATCATTTCATCCAAGTCTTTGTCCCCAGGTTTTGACTGCCCCTGCTCAGTCCTCTGAGATGAAGATATACACACCGCAGAGTTTACACTCTTCCCAAAAAGACCATGACAGCAAGTGCCACACACACCACTTGCTTCTCAGACCCCCGTTTTATTGAGATCTTACTCACTTCCATGTTGAGAAGAGCCATTTACCTTGTGAAGCCAGTGCAGGTTCATTTGCTGTCCCACAGCTATGTGACATAGTGCTAGTATCTGAAGGAAGAAATCAAGAGTCAGACATAGGCACAACACAGTCTGTAAGTGTTTGAACATGTAGAAACACATCACCATCCAGAAAGATAACCAAGAAAGCAGGACTGGCGTGAGGATGGTCCAGCAGACACCACCTAGCTCAGTTGTGCAAACTCTCCAAAGCCAAATATGTGGAGGGAAAGGCTTTGACCTCCAAGAGGCAGGGAGTTGAGAGTCTGGTCCATGGATGCACAGCTCCCAGGACTGTAGGAAGCAGCGTCTAGATGGAGCCAGGTAGTGGTGTGCTACCTGAATGGACACCACCTTGAAGGTCCCAGCACTCTGGGATGAGGGGAAACAACTTGCACTTGTGGCTAGCAGATACATTCAAGTGAAAAATGGGCCATACTAAGGGGAACAAGAGCTGTATTTCTCCTCAGGCTAACTGCATCACCAGTATATCAAGGTCTCTGTCTCTGCTCTTGATCATCTGAGGTCAAAGACCATGCATTTTTCACTTTTCATTTATTTTAGGCAACTTAAGGCTGGGAGAGGGAGAGAGAAATCAATTCTGAAAGTAAAATTGCTCAAGTTATAGGTGGACTGAGAAGTTCATGCCCTTTTTAAGAACAAATGCACAAACCTCTATGAAATGGCATTTTATTCTACTCACCAATAACACTGTAATGTATGTAAAGCCAGCAGCAGTTGTTACAAGTATTGGAATGGACCAGTCACTCCAATATCCCATTCGGTTATATAAAAACCTGAAAGATAAGCATGAAGCACAGACTTAGAAGAGATTCAACACCATAGCAACTTCACTAGGATTAGACAAAACTTTAGAAAATGGATCTTTCTGTTCTCACTGTACAGATGAAAGGCAACAAAAGAGCACAAGTCATTCTGAAACAAAACCCAGTGTTTGTGCTTTGATCACTCATGGGAAATTAAATGTAAGAATTAAAAAAAAAAACCACACAGGACCAGGACTTGAGTTTTCCAAAAAATATTCTCTACAAACAACAGAAAACATGGGATGGTGTTTGCCTAAAAACAGATCTGATGCTGTCCCGCGTTCTCAGACTAATACATACAATATAGATGTAGTATCAAGGATGGGAAGAAAATGAATGTTGCTGTGCTATGTACTCAAGGCATGAACTCTTTGCAGAGGGTCAAGGTGATGGAAGAAGTTTGCTCTCCTGTACCTATCAGAGATGGTGACTCTTATTCCAATGGGCTGCAGAAAGGGTCCAAACTTGCAGGAGTGGATACTGTCAGGAATTGGGCTCAGGAGTTCCCAAAATGGGGCTGGCTAGAGGACCTGCATCCTTTTGACTTTTTCATCTTCAACTGACTGAAGGGTTGGTCTGCCCAGCCTGAAGGATGCCTGTGGGTTTTTTGGCTCAGTGGGTTCCCTTTTCCTGGTCCTTCCTTAAAGTTTTAAGTAAAGAGATGGGCCATGCAACGGCTCTGTGATCCAGCCTTGGCAAGAGGCAGCAGCAATGTCCTGATGCACTGGACAACCAGAGCAGGGACAAAAGCAAGTTTAGAGCAATACTGCGGTACAGATGACATCCTACAGGTATATCTCCAAAGCACACATCTCCAAAATACCTTTGGTACCTCTAGGCCATCACTTATCAGTGAATTCCCCAGTTTCACTGCACACATGCAGAACAGCTGCCATCTCATCAAGGCTTAGCAGCACAAAAACATAGAAGCCACATGTTTTTCAGGTAGCCTACTGGCCACAGCATTGCTCTAGGAACAGAGAAACTCACATTCAATCCCTGCTTTAGCCGTTGGGATTGCAGTACCACCACCTTTCCACCCAACCTGCAAAGAGGTGAGCTTCATACCCCTGCTGAAGCTGATTTTCTTCCCTCCTCTCCTCTAATTATCCAGGTATCCTCCTCACACTCTTACCAGGTTTTCCAACCCTGTATTTCAGATTCAGCTCAGCATCCTGTCCCTCATTACATTCATAAAGCCAATGGCCATCAAAAAGCTTTATGAACAGGAGCACCAGGCGAAGCAGACGGTTATTCACAGCAGTAGGACAGTAAGAGATGCTGTCTCTTGTAACCAGCAGGGTCTCTCAAATTTCAAATTTGCATTTAAATAGCAATATGCTTCCCAGTAAAACTGTCCTGGAGTGGGATTTGAGAATCATTAAAATGCGTTATGGCAAAGCCACAGCAAGACACAAAATAGACTCAGTCCACTACCTTCCCTGACCAGAGATGCATAAGGGCACCCAGGCCCCACCACACCAGAAGAGAGGCAGCCAAATCCCAGAACCCTTCTTGAAACTTCTGAGAGCTCAAGCCTGACCTGGATTGAAATTTTTTCCCAGCATATCTTTAGAAAAAACATCACTAGGTTGACTTGGGTTGGGGCTAACTTTATCTCCATGCAAATCTTTTGGTACAGCAAAGGTTATGTGGTGGATGACGTGGCAGTGCTGCTGCATTAAAGGAGTCCATAACGCAGTAGACATTGGACTTCATCATCTGACAACATGGAGCTCAGGTCATATGGTCCCACTACCCTTCCTTGAACCTACTCATCAGCTCATTCAATGAGCTGACCAAGGCTAGGACCCAGAGGGTTTAGTTACCTTTTTTTTATTTGTTAAAACAGACAAATGCTGTAATGTAAGCAGGTCAAAGACTCAACCTTCTCCTCACCACTCAAATCCAGCATCATTCATCAGCCATAAACTCTGGTTTAGCAAGAGTCTCATTTATTCTGTCCAGAAGTAAAGCTCCCATGTAGGAGCTGGAGAGCAAATCCTTGGGCTCAACAAACATGACCCATGCCCAGGTTCTGCTTAGGGATTTGAAGAGCCATATCAGAAGGGATCTGGAGGGATTCAGACATTCTGTTAGTGAAAAAGAGGGAAGAAAAAGAGCTCTTCTGAAGTCTGCTCACACTACCACCAAGAGCTTCCTTAGCTCATCTTTCAGTACTTTAAAGTTTTTGCTCTGATGTCGCTTCAAGTAGCCCTCTGATAGTGTCAGGTCTTCACTTGATGTGCAAATTACTGTTTTAATATACTGATTCCATGGTAGTTATGAACCAGATGAGCCTCCTTCAGAACTAAGGAATCAAAAAATTGCTACACAGACTTGCATTCATAGTCCTGTTCCAGAGGGAACACAGCCAGGTTCACAAATTACAGCATCTCCCACATCCTTCATTAACCAATGTTGAGCTTTCTGTTGCAGTACATAGCTTGCACACTGGAGATCTGAAGTATAATGCAATTAAGCCCAGACATGAAAGAGGGAAATGCCCAAAGCAATAAATTAAAAATAATATATTTACTTGAGAGGCACAAATTCCTTTCACTGACAAAGACCTCATTGCATATTCAGCCTCTCAGAAGTTAAAAGCCTGCAGCAGTACATGCTGGGCTATAAGTTTGCCTTGTCTTTCTATAGTCCATTTGAATCCCAAAATAGTCCGTTAAGTCTTTACATATTTAAAGGTCAAATCTACACCTTTATATAAGTAAACACTATCCATGTCTCAACTTAATTAGGCCAATTTAATTTTACATAGATAAGTGTATCCACTGCTGGACACCAAACATGCCCGAACTACAGGCACAGGTTCCTATGCTCGCCTCTAGGTTTCTACCACCTTGAGTCACCTCTGGCAGCTGCTTAACAGCATTTAGCAACGCTCTGCACATCTGAGTTAAGAAATAATAAACATCCTAATGAATCCAGGTTTCAGGTAACATTTTAACTAAAGGAACACAGAAGAGCAGTATTGCAGCTCATTGTAGTTTCAATTAGAATAATGAGGCTTTATATTAGCATGCTAATAACTCTGCTGAGAGGGACTCGAGGTTATGGAGGACATGAGGTTGAATGAGCCAACAGGGTACTTCCACTCTGAGGAAGTCAAACAGCATATTGGGTGGTGTTAAAAGAAGCATCACCAACGGGCCAAAGGAAGTTGGTCTCTCTCCTGCTCAGCACTGGTGAGGTGGTACCAGCACCACAGTGCCCTGGTTTGGGCCTCCAAAACTGACAGACAGTTATGAAGATGATGAAATTAAACTCTTCAAGATTGACAGACACTGTCAAAAAGGGAAAATGTCCCTCAGAGTTTTGGGTTGGAAAATCTCCCCACAGGGGGTGGTGCAGTGCTCTGTCTTAATGGAGCCCACACATCTGCACTGGGAGGGAGGAGGACCAGGCCCAGCCTGAATGGGCCCAGTGGAAATGGTTTCCTTTCTGCCTGGAACCAGCATGGCTGTAATTAAAGCCTCACCCCATGTTATCATCCTCCCTCCCAGCCTTCCTACAGTATTTCAGACTGTTTCCCAGAAACCCTGCCATTCTTCTCAACCTCTGGTGCCAGTATGTGGAGCAGGGATCTAATTTAAAGCCGAAATACCTCTTGCACCCAAAGCAGACTGACACATCTCTTCCCAATCCAGCATGAATATTTGGGAACCCAAAACTTCACAGCACAGCAGCTGCAATACCCATTCAGTGTTCCCAGGGCATTGCTTCATCTCTGCTTTTTTTTTCTAGCCCTGTCTCAACTTTAGGCTATGAGAGATTTGGCTTTTCACTGGAGCAGAACAGGAGCATTTGCAACCTGTACTGAAGGTATAAATTGAAAGAAAAAGAGGAGTTCCAAAATAGCCTTTAAGAAAAAAAAATCCCCCAAAGCCACATTTTTTTATGCTAGTATTATAAGTATTACAAATAATCAAGAGCAATGGTGATGGTTTCAGTTCTTAGAGTGTGAGTGTGAGCAAAGAGACCACACTCCTGGAAGGAAACAGTGTCAGTTAGGTTAGTAAACACTCTCCCTCACATAACTTCAGCACCTAAAGCAGTCAATTTATTTAAGGGTTCAACTGCCCACTGCATTTTAAGATACAGTTCATGTATTATCTTTGACAAGAAGATGATGTTAAAGCGGTTTGGTTAAAAGAGAGTCCAAGATACTGTCAAAATGCTTTAAAGATGCTGCTAAGATAGTAAAACTGAGAATAATTTCCAGCACTGGAGGGAGCTGGCAACACCTCAAACTCCCCAGCACATCCCACTGGAAAGCTTGTTTTCAGTTCCATCCAAATTTGCAAATTTTTCCACAACTGTGCTGCTTCAGGCTGAATTTTTGTCATTCATATTTTGTCGAAAGTTTCAGCCAGATTGCTCAGCCACTTCCAAAACCAGCCAACTACAGAAACCAAAACAATCTCCAAAATCTGCTACATGGTTTCAGCTCCACCTATGTTTTTGTTTGCTGTTCACCAGGGAGCACACCTATCCCAACCTCCATTACAGCCATGCAGTGCAGACGTGAGGACATTACATCTATCAGTGCAGATGGGCAGAAGCAGCTCTCCTTCAGTCTCACTTTTCCTTTGTCATCATTAACAAGTCCATCTGAAGAACCCAAATGCATCCAACCCACTGTCAAACAGCTCTTAGAGACGTATGATGGTAGCCAATTTTGTTATAGGCTTGCCCCTCCATAACAGGAAAACTCTACTCACCAGTTGATTTCATTGTAGTCATTGTGAACTTCCCACCAGAAGTAAAACCAGACCAGGGTCAGGAAGAAGGATGAGGTGAGGATGAGGAACCAGAGGCGCTCCCACTGCAGATGGAAAGAGACATCACCATTAACATTATTCCAGTTCAAGCTCAGTGTCCCATCCTGTCCCACATCTCATCTAGAAGATGTTGAGCTTGGATGGAGTAAGTAGACATTTCCAAGGGCATATTTTAGAATTTTCTACCCTAAGGGAGATGGAAGATGCACACCTCATCCCCAGCTCTGGCAGAGGGGTCGCTTATGTAGATATAGCTTATGTAGGGCTGGGACAGCACTTCTTCATCTCTCTGGACATGTGGAATGAGGGAACGTTTCTAGATACAGAGATGGTGTGGTGTTTGTTTTTTTTGGGGGGGGGAGGTTTGTTTGAAGGTTCTTTGTTTAGATTTTGTTTTTTGAGGCAATTGTTTAACTTTTCCATTCACATGTGAGAGATACAAAATGGCACTTTACTTTCCCATAAGTTCAGCCTGCATAACCACACACACCAGACTACACAGCAGATTAGGGATGCTACTACTATGCAGACTTAGGAGCCCTTCCCCTAGAGCACTCAGATCCTGCAGAGCCAAACCACCCATCCACAACATTTATTCCCACCACCACCACACATGCAAGCGTTTTGCAAATAACACAGCAGGAGGAGAGACTACACCAGCATCAGATGAAAGAGATTTGCACTAACATTCAGTTTTAAGGAATGTTTCAAATAAGACTAAAAAAAAATAATCCCTAAAGCATCTGTTCAGTGCCCCACTCCAATAGCAAGGGTAAAATCCTAAACCACAAGGACATCCATGAAGAGAACAGTGTTGCATGAACTCTGTCCCTAACCAGTACCATTTCCATGTGCTCCTTGTTGGTTTTACTCTGCAGGCATTAAATAGTCCACACATGTTTCTGTTTCAACTAGCATCCAGTCTGTTTGGAACAAAACAGGAAAAAATTCTTTATGGAAAATGTTCACATGAATCCTCTCTTCCCAGAATAAGCAAGAAGGGATGAAAATTGAAAAAGTATATGAGCAACTCTACTATTATAATTTCCTTCTAGACTCTGAGCATAAGATTAATCTCTTTTGAAAATGTCCTTTTCTCTGGTGAGCCTTCTCAAGGCTTTTCAATTATGCAAAACAATGTAACCAATGTAAACACTGTTTTGGTGACATAAAAACCACTGTTATACTTTGCCTTCCATTTCCATCTTAAGGGCCGAAGCTATTTACTTAACTATTGACTATTTTTCATCATGCATCACCCTGGATACCAGTCTTGTGATACAACTCTTCCGTGTATACTCCATCTTATAAAAAGTGCCAAAAGAAAAAGAAAGCAATAAGAAGAGTTAGAATTATTTATTTTTTGCTGTGCCAAAAATTATGTCTTCTGCTAGAAATTCCCAGTTCTTGGCTGGGTTTATGGTTAAAGTGTTTTTTTCAACTCAGCTCAAGTTTTTCAGCCAACTTCTATCAAATCTCAGTAGCAGCAAGTGCCTATGTGCCATGAGGGGGCTTGTGTTCCAGACAAACGGGGCAAAAGGAACAAGAAGGAGGTACAAAGGGACTTTCACAGTGCAACTACTGAGTACATTCAAAACCACATCGCCAAGCTACTCTGCCATGAGCTTAGAGACTATAATCTATCTTTCTCATGCACAGATCTGTGACTATATGCACAGGTAACCTCCTGGAGGGAAATCACTGAGGTTGGAATAGGGGTTTTCATAGAATCATAGAATGTATTGGGTTGGAAGGGACCTTTAAAGATCATCTAGTCCAACCCCCCTGCAGTAAGCAGGGACATTGGTACCAGATTAGGTTGCTCAGAGCCCCATCAAGCTTGACCTTGAGTATCTTTAGGGATGGGGCCTCCACCACCTCTTTAGGCAACCTGTTCCAGTGATCTACTACTCTGATATTGAAGAACTTTTTCCTAATACCCAACCTAAATCTACCCTTTTCTAGTTTAAAACCATTACCCCTCGTCCTGTCGCTACATGTCCTAGTGAACAGCTCTTCCCCAGCTTTCTTATAGGCACCTTTCAGGTACTGGAAGGTCACTAAAAGGTCCCCCCCAGAGCCTTCTCCAGGCTCAACAACCCCAGCTCTCAGCCTTTCTTCATAGGAGAAGCCCTTTGATCATCTTTGTGGTGCCCCTCTGGACCCACTCCAGCAGTTCGATGTCCATTTTGTGCTGAGGACTCCAAAGCTGGATGCAGTACTCACTTTCCCTATTGTTTGCTGTTTCTTATTCTCTCCATTTGGGTCTAACACCTCCTTGGACCCATCAGCAACACTGAATTGGTTTTCCCCCAGAACACCCCACTTTTGACAGGAGAATACCAGCCTCAGCATCTACATCAGGTCCATAGTCAACACCAGCCTTTCCCAGTCCAAAATGCAGCAGCAAGGTTGTAACATCTCTCCATGATGAACCTCCTCCACATCAACCGCTGCTGCAACACCAAGCCAACTCTTTCCAACCAAGAAGTTTCAGATTCAAATCCACCTATGGAACATCTGGATTATATAAATACCCAAACCAAAACCTACTCACACCTTCACTCCACCCCACCAAAATTCCCCAGAAGAGAGAGACTGCTAACACTTTCAGGAAAATATGACTATTTTGTCCTAGATGTCTTCCAGTCTGAAGATCTCCAGGCTTTCAAACCTCACCCTTCCTTATTATTTGCTTTTTCTTTTCCCCCTCTCCATTTGGGTCTAACACCTCCTTGGACCTATCAGCACCACTACTGAATCAGTTAACTGGACAGGTTCCTGCAAGGCAAGTGAGGTTTAAAGTATTTCAAGTGCCAAGAACCAACATTGCTACAATAAACAAAAAAAATCCTTCAGCTCTTTAAAGGTCATTATGGGATAAGCTTGGCCAGTATTCATGCACTGGATGACACTGGTATGATAAACAAGCCAAGGAAAACAATTCAGAATATGTTTGGTCTTTTATTTTCCATATGTATTTCTTTTTCCTCTCATTTGCATGCAGGTAGCATAGCTTGTGTCAAGCTCTCCAAAAGCTATTTTTGGTCTGTCCTTGATGGTGCTCTTGCCAGATCACATTTGCCTGGCTGATTTTGTGAAAAAACAGCTAAATTCTTCAAGGGTTGTCAGACTTCAGTGAGTTCAAGCACCATTCTGGGTGGGCTTTCAGAAGAACAGGGAACATCTTCGCAGCACCACTGATGCTATTTAGCAGAGACTGAACCAAAATCTGGACCTACGTGAATCCTACCTACACGCACAATGTATTGGATTTAACAGGGGTCCTGTACAACCTCCCTCCAACAGCCTCTCATCAATAGACCTTTACAGGCCCCTACTTTGCAAGCTCCCACATGCTTTAAAGCAAGATGAAATCTGCAATGTGCAATAGCTTCAAGACTCTACTGCCAAAAATAAAGACTCAAAATCATGTCATTCCGATCACTCAATCACCTCGACAAGTAGGTGGAGGAAACAGTGCCACTTCACCTACAGAAACTCAGGCAGAAATACTAGAAAGTTTGAAGGTGCTTCAAAAAACATCCACATATTTTATAAAAATGTCAGCACTGACATTTTTAGCAGTTCTAGAATACCTTCCTTTCCCTTCCTTCTTTTACAGTTTCTCCCTCTTCACCCTGGGATAAGACGGATGTGCTCACTAGTTACAATTACTTGCACCAAGCTTAAACATGCTCAGCTCACACAGTACTCAGTATTGTCCTGCAAACGAACCTGGCCACACACATCTGTATTAGCACCTTCATTCCTCCAGGATGTGTTTTGAAAGTAGCTCACTATTTTGTCTTGCTTTCTCAGCTCTGTTCACATCACTAAAGGGCTTTGGGTGAAGCCAAGCCAGATGATGTGCTCCAGGAGTGAGAGCAATGCACCTCAACTACTGCTTCACTGTGAGGGTGGTGAGGCACTGGCATAGGTTGCCCAGAGAAGCTGTGGATGCCCCCTCCCTGGCAGTGTTCAAGGCCAGGTTGGATGGGGCTTTGAGCAGCCTGGGCTGGTGGGAGGTGTCCCTGCCCATGGCAGGGGTTGGACTGGGTGAGATTTGAGGTCCCTTCCAACCCAAGCCATTCTACAATAACTGTGGGCACTCAGTTCACAGGATCAGATTACAGCTAGTCCTTCCTAAGTGACCACAACACCACCTCCAAAATGCTTGGACCGTGGATGTCAGGATCTCAGCACCATCTCCTTCTACAGACCTTGGGCTACTCGCTAATGCAGATGTAGCCATGCTTACAGAATGGCACAAAACAGTATTAACTTCATTACACCAACATTTAATTTTAAAGGAAAGCAGTAAATCACTGAAAAAGTCACCTTTTTCCTCCAGCTAAACTGCCAGAGAGGACATGTACCATGCACTCTGTTAACCTCAAAAAAAGCCAACTGATACATGGACAAAGTTCTTGCAGAGCACACCCACTGAGATGGCCACAGCCCAAAGGAGGATGGAATATCAATTAAAATAAAAAGGTGACTTTGAAGTGGGAATATTAAAAGAGTCAGGCACAGGTTGAAGTTTTTGCACTGCAGAAGCTCTTTCAAAAACAGGCATCTTGCATGTACTGCTGTGCTTGTGATCTCAAGTCTACTGTAGGGCCACTTCTAGCAATGGGAATAAGATTTCTTACTCCAAGAGTATCTACAGACACAATCAGAAGAGCACCAAAAGGAAGACGTTATCAAGTTGCAGTCTGCCAGTGATATTTTCAAATCACAGAATCCTTAAAAAACCCCAAACAAACACAAAATAATCAGTGTTTCATCCCCAATTCTCACTCTGTTTGGTGGGAGCATAACCAACAGTAAGGGATGATGGAGGAAAAAAAAATTGCCACAGAAAGAGCCAGTTTGTGATTCAACCATGAGGTTGGCTCATGCATTACCTGCTCTTGTGCTGCAAGTTTTAATCTTATCTGCTTGAAACAGCCCTGAAATTCGTATCACAGAGCATGGAAGAGATATTTTTAATTGGGAGATTAGTTCTGGTTAATTCAAGTCTGCACCAGCCTCTTTTGCT